TTATCCACGCGGGATATGCTACGTGAGAAATAGTAATATGTTGAAAAATAATTAGAGCTTTAAAGAGTTGAAAAACCATTATTAAATTATAACTAGAATGAGAAAAAAATTATTTCAAAAATAAAAGATTATATTTGAATAATAACAAAGTTATTTTTTTGTGATTTAATAAACATTAGTTGAATTCAATGAAATGTCTTTTTAACGCTAAACATTTATTGTGTGTGGTTAAATTAATTTTGGTCAATTCATTTTATCTATTACTGATAAATATTTATTGGTTAAAGATATTTACAAGAAACTAAAAAAATGTGAAAGTTAAACATATTAAACAGCAACACTTATAATCACACACTGCAAAACACACGCTTCTGATCTAATGACGCGACGCCATGGTCGCCATGACACTCAACAGCTGGGAAGGTCGACGCCTGCGCGTGTAAGATTATATGAGTACATACATATAAAATTTTATTTCATTTGTTTAAAGGGAAAAATATACTGGATTTTCAGTAATTAATCTAGTAATTCATGCATTATTTGTTTAGAATGTACAATGTAATTAGAATAAATATTTGAATAATTTAATATATTGTCTACCAATATTTGATGCAACAAATATTGAATGAAACTTTTTTGACTTTAATTTGTAAATATAATTCCACACAATCTTTTGACACTTGGAACGATCGTATTCCGTTTAATACACATGCGCTGACATATATCCCACGCAAGATATCCCAGGGATATCCCACGCGGGATACCCCACAAAAGAAAAATTTGCATATCCCGTGGATATCTCAGGGACATCCCAGGGATATCCAATGGATATCCCTGGGCTATCCAAATTTCCGTCCCGTGAGATATCCCATGGGATCTCCCTGGGATATCCAAGGGATGTCGCGGGATGGAAATGGGATATCCACGGGATATCCTATGCTGTGAGGGAAGAATATTGTTATTAGAACTTATTCAAAATTACTTTCATGTTTCATCACTTTAATTCAATTATTGTTTTCCAGAAATTTTAACTAAAATTCTTCTTTAAATTAATTATTTTTTATAATTTTTGAAGAAGTTCTTTGGGAATTTTCATATCTATTTGTTTACAATTAAATTTTATGAAATTTGGAAATTCTTTAATTAAAAATATATTAGAAAATAAAAACTTTAAATAACTTAAAAAAAATTCAATTTAACTTTTTAAAAAAATTAAATAAATTTTCACAATTTTTAGTTAATAAAAGTATGAAAAATTTAAACATTCAACGTTTATAATTTGAAACCTTTTCAAAATTTAATTATTTCTAAAAATTCACGCTATAATAATTTCTCTCTAAATTTGAATTAGTAAAAATGTTTAGAGGCACTAATTGTAATTAGTGACTGACTTTTTGCTTTTGAATTAGTAAATTTTACTATTAAATAATTAAATTCGTAGAAACGACTATTTATTAGTAAAATCTGCTAATTTAAAAGCAAAAGTTAATAACTAATTCAATTTAGAAAACATTTTTACTAATTCAAATTTAGAGAGTTTAATATTCTGTTATTAAATGTTATTTAAAATTTTAACTCAAATTCATATTTAAATCAATTTTTATTAGAAAATTCTACAATAATTCAATTATTTAAATTTTAAATACAAAAATAAATAATTTATTCAAGAATTGAATGTATTTTGAACTCTCATAAAGAATTGTATAAAAAAGTTTTAAATAATTCAATTCTTTCGTCGAATTTTAATAAAATTTTTAAGAATAATTTCATTTTTCAAAAAATTAGATTACAATTGTATCAAAAATAATTAAATCTCTATAAAAGAAACTCGATTTAATTGAGAAAAGTTTTTAAAAATAATTTAAATTTTGACAAGAATTTTATTAAAATTTTTGAAAATAATTGAATTTTTGGAAAAAAAATTTATTATTTATAAAGATAATTAAAATTTTATAGAGAATTATTTTAAACTTTTGACCATAATTAAATTTCTGCGAAGAATTTTATTACTTTTAAAAATAATTGTATTCTTGAGACGAATTTTTAAATACCTGATTGAATTCTTTTGTGAAATTTTATTGAAATAGTAGATATTGAAAATAATTGAATTTTAATAAATTATTAATTATTAAAATTAATTAAATTTCTAATACGAAGAATTTTATTTAAATTATTTTGAAAAAAATTGAATTGTTAAAAAGAATTTCATTAAAATTTTTGAAAATAATTTAATTCTTTTAAGAAATTTAATTAAAAAGTGTATTGCCAATAATACTTAAATTCTAATTAATAAATTATAGGAAGGATTTTTAAAATAATTGAATTTATTTGATTTTATGAAAATAATTGAAAAACTATAAAGTTTTTTATTATTTATAAAAATAATTGAATTTAGCTTTAAAAAATTTGATTATTTTTTATTTTTTTTTATTTTTCTGGTTCGTAGTATTAAATCAGTAGTACAAGTCATTTTTAGTCAGACATAAAAGCGTAAAAAATTTGGAATTTTTCTTTCTTTTTTCCTAGTTTTAATCAGTAGTACAAGGCACTTTTAGTCAGCCACAAAAGCGATAAAAGGTGATGAATTTTTTACTACATTTTCTTCTGACTATTTCATTAGTAGTACAAAGCATTTTTAGTCAGACAGAAAAGAATTCTAAAAAATTGTAATTTTTTATCCTTTTTCCAATTATTTAATCAGTAGTGCAAGGTATTTTTAGTCAGACATAAAAGAATAAATAATATTTTTGTAACGTTTCTTTTTTCTGTACTATTTAAGTAGTACGAATTACTTTTAGTGAGACATGAAAGCGTAAAAAGATTTGTAATGTTCCACCTTTCTTTCGTAGTATTAAATCAGTAGTACGACAAATTTTTAGTCAGACAGAAAAGAATTTAAAAAAAGTAATCATTTTTCATTCTTTTTTCCGCCCATTATTTAATCAGTAGTACAAGGCGTTTTTAGTCAGTCATAAAATCATTGTGAAAAAAATATTGCTGTAATTTATCATTCTTTTATCGTAGATTTTTTTTATTAATTTGCTCTCTAATTTTCGTGACTATGGAGAGAGAGAGAGAGAAAGAGAGAGACGTGTATTGAAATTCAAAAACACAGCACTTGCTTTAAATTTATTTCACACCTGATACCTGACTTACATGGTTGAAGCACCTTGAATCAAATTACAGGCGATCCACTTTAGTCTTTGTGAGCGATGTTCAACTTGGTTAACGTTGCCTGTCACGTGATACACTATCATTTTACCATAACCAATGATTATTTACTCAAGAAAAAAAGAAAAATGAAGTCGGAAGTACTTTTCGATCTCAATTGCACACAATTAAAGTCGTTTGAAACTTTAGCAGCAGTTTATTTAAAGTTCTATTCTATATATCATGAATATTTGCTTTTAATCAATGGACTATTAATTAAATTAGTATTTGCTTTTTTGTTAAAATAATGTATTACAAAAAAGTTTAGTTTTTTATGTTCTCTTTTTATTGGTAGTAATGTTTTTTTATTCTCTATTTATTGTTGGCAATATTTTTTTATTCTGTACTGACTGTAATATTTTTTATTTATTTTTATTTATTTTATGTTCTCTATTTATTGACAATAACATTTTTAATTCTTCTATTTATTGTTAATGGTAAATATAACTATTGATAACAGAGAGAATGAAAAGACTTTTTTTTATTATTTTATTGATAAGTTTATAAATTTTACATGTATAGAGGTAACAGTATTTGTTATTATTGTTTAATCAGTAGTAGAAAGCAGTTTTAGTCAGACAATAAACTTTTATTAAAATAATTCAGAAACTGATAAATACAATATAAATTTATTTTTAATTTATTTTTCTATATTTAATAAAAAGGATAATTCTTTAATTTTAATAAAAGTTTATTGTCTGACTATAAATTCCTTGTACTACTGAATAAACTACAGTAAACTGTACTTTTACTACTACTTTAATATATAAAATTTGTAAGCTATTATTATTAAAAATTATTAACTATTATCACTATCACTATTAATTATTATTATTATTATTATTATTATTAAATTATCCTTATTTAAAAAATAATAATAACAATAATAAAACAAAAAAAACTGAGTAAAATTAAAAACAAGAAATAAAGTAAAAGATGTAAATAATAATAATAATAATAGTAACATAGTTACCGTTAATAAATAAATAAAATACTAACGTTAATAAATAGTTGAAATTCCAACTAAAAAGTAAGTAAAAATAGTAAAATTGTTAATAAGTAAATATTTATAATTGTAATTATGAGTTAATACTTAATACCCACTGAAAAGGAGATAAAACGTTCGTTTCTTTTGAGCACTACGCTTCAAAAGTTCACTTTGAATAAAAATTTTTAATCCAAAAAAAAATTCCCTTTTAAATAAAAACACCACCTTTTAGAATTTTGTTTTTTATTCCATGGGAAAAAGTAACTAGAGTTATGACGTAAAACTTAATTTCCCTTTGTTTATTCACAATGAACATTTGCTCCTGAATAAAAAAAAATAAATTACGACTTGTTTTCATTTTGTAAAGTAAAAAAAGAACATGTAAAATTAAAAGCAGTTTTTTTCCACTTCTTTTTCTTTCTTTCTTCCTTTCCTTTTTTCTTTTTCTACTGTAAAATTGCAAGAAAATGTCAGAATGTGCAACAGCTGTAAGAAAATTATAATTTTATACCCGCTTTCATGAAACTCGTGAGAGCAGTGAAATAGATTGGTTTAGAGGAGCGATTTTTGTGATCTCTGATTCCTTTGCTCCACCTTATGTTACTTCCTTTTCATAAGTAATCTCTCTCTCTCTCTCTCTCCCGCCCCCAAGTGTAATTTCACTGTTTGTGCCTCCATTCAGAATGTAAACCTTTACGATATGCTCGACAGAATCACCTTTCTCTCCATAAATTACGTAATAAAAATGCACAAAAAGAGGGTATATAGATATATAAAAAAAAAGAGAAACTAAATTACAAACCTCTCACAAATGTCGAGTTTAAAGTTGAAATGCTCGATGAAGTAAAACACAGTCCTGAAACAGAAAAAAAAAAAAATTTCCGCTGATGAATTTTTCCGGATTATATGCGTGTGCTAAACTAGTAGTTTATTGTGTCATTAAATTTTATTCTTTTTTCACGTTAATATTCGTGGAACAAGATTGTAAAGAAAATATGCAATAAATGCAAAAAAAGAAATATAAATAGATTAATATTTTTAATTAATAAAATAAATTAAATAAACTAAATAAAAGGTTATTAAAATAAATAAAATAAATAAAAGCTTAATAAAATCTTAGGAGAAATTCAATTATTTTTATGGATAATAACATTTTTAATAGAGAATTCAATTATTTCAATACATTTTAAATATAAAATTCTTTGAAGCAATTCAATTATTTTTATAGATAATAACAATTTTTAATAGGGAATTCAATTATTTCAATGCATTTTAAATATAAAATTCTTTGAAGCAATTTAATTATTTTCAAAAAATTAAATAAAACTCTTGTTAGGCATTCAATTATTTTTCTGGATAATAAAATTTTTCTTAGGAATTCAATTATTTTCAATACAATTTCAATAAAATACTTCAAAGAAATTCAATTATTTCAGTACAATTTAAATATAAAGTTTTTAAAGAATTGAATTATTTGCAAAAGCTTAAATAAAATTCTTGTTAAGAATTCAATTATTTTTCTGGATAATAAAATTTTTCTTAGGAATTCAATTATTTTTAGTATAATTTTAATAAAATACTTTGAAGGAATTCAATTATTTTCATTCCATTTTTAATAAAATGCTTTGAAACAAATTAAATACTCTTTAAAACCTTAATAAAATCTTGGCAAGAATTCAATTATTTTTATAGAAAATAACATTTTTTTGCATTCTGTAAAGCAATTCAATTATTTTTAAAAACTTAAATAAAATTCTTGTCAAGAATTCAATTATTTTTCTGGATAATAAAGTTTTTTTATGAGTTCAATTATTTTCAATACAAATTCAATGAAATACTTCGAAGAAATTCAATTATTTTTCAGTTCATTTTTATTGAAATTCTTCGACAGAATTCAAATACTTTTTAAAAGTTATATAAAATCTTGGGAAGAATTCAATTATTTTTATAAAAAATAACATTTTTTATAGGAATTCAATTATTTTGAGTACAATTTAAATATAAAGTTCGTTGAAACAATTAAATTATTTGCAAAAGCTTAAATAAAATGTTTGTCAAGAATTCAATTATTTTTCAGGATAATAAAATTTTTATCACGAAACAAATATTTTTAAATACATTTGAAATAAAATACTTAGAAACAATTCAATTACTTTTCTAAATAATAAAATTCTTTGCCAAAATTCAATTATTTTTAATCCCATTTTAAGAAAATTTTTCGAAACTATTCAATTATTTTAAAAAGTTTCAATAGCATTTTTGACAAGAATTAATTGAAATTCTTCGAAAGAATTCAATTATTTTCAACACAATTATAATAAAATTAATCAAAAGAATTCAATTGTTGTTAAAATAATTATAAAATTCTTTAAAACAATTCAATTACTTGCAAGTCAAGTTTTAAATTTTTGATTTAAAGAATATTTAATTTTTAAATTCTTAAAAATAATAAATAACTAAATTATTTTTAGAAATTTTAATAAACTTTTAAATAGTTTAACTATTTCCAACAATTTTAGTGAATTGTATAGAAAAATTAAATTATTTCAGATTCAAAATTATAAAAATTATAAAAGAAATTTTTTTTTTTACAAAAATGTTATTTTTAAAAGTAAAAAAAGTGCATTTATTCATGCTAATAATATTTAGTAATAAATAATTTATATTGTTGAATAAAAATATTAATTAGTAGACAAACAGGGTAGAAATAAAATGCGAGTTTATTTATATTTTCCTATCAAAAATTCAAAAAGAAAAATATTTCATTTATTTCATTTCTCCATTGTAATTTCAAGTGTACTCAAGAAAATGCCTCTTCGACATTTTTCCACTGCAATTGTTTCTATATATGTATATAGAAAAAAATGCAAAAAAAAATACATGGGCACATTTTTGCTTTGATTTTTCTCTATATCCGCGGGCCAAAAGAAGAAAAGAAATGAATGTCGAGGGAACATCATGTATTTGCAAATCGTTTGGCCTGAAGCCCTGACCTGACTTGACCCGTGTTGTATTGTTCGGCTTCACGAATGTCCCATCGATGATTAAGAATTGGAATATTTCTTTTCAGTAAAAAAAAAAAGAAAAAAATTTGTAAATATATATACGTAAACAAAATCGAATCAACGATCTAGTTTCTTTTCTGGACACGTCTTCCAAAGACTTCCTGATATAAAAATATCACATACATCTTTCCCTTATCAAAAGTTCCACTTTAGCAAAAATATTTCCCCAATTCCAATATGTTATTATATATATATATATATATATATATACACACACACACTTTGCTAGTAGACCATAAATCTTTTTTCGATTTTGTGAAATATGTTGCGTGACATGTTCTTAAAAATGACATGTAAGGTTTTTTTTAAATTTTTTTATGAAAAATTGCCAAAGAGGGAATTATTATTTTGTTTCATTTCTTTTGGGATTAAAAAGTGGAGGATGAAAAATGAGTCAAAATTTTCGAAAGTCGTAGGTGTATGTCCACTGTTTGTTCATTTGAACGTGCTGTCTGACTAAAATCGCCTTCTACTACTAATTTAGTTCATTTTAACGTTATGTCTGACTAAAATTGACTTCTTCTACTAATTTTGTTCGTTTTAATGTTCTGTCTGACTAAAATTGACTTCTACTACCAATTTTGTTCGTTTTAATGTTCTGTCTGACTAAAATTGACTTCTACTACTAATTTTGTTCGTTTTAATGTTCTGTCTGACTAAACTTGGTTTATACTACTAATTTTGTTCGTTTTAATGTTCTGTCTGACTGAACTTGGTTTATACTACTAATTTTGTTCGTTTTAATGTTCTGTCTGACTGAACTTGGTTTATACTACTAGTTTTGTTCATTTTGAAGTTCTGTCTGACTAAAATTGACTTCTACTACTAATTTTGCCATTTTAATGTTCTGTCTGGCTAAAATCGTCTTCTACTACTAATTTGGTTCATTTTAACTTTCAGTCTGACTAAAATCGTCTTCTACTACTAATTCGATTTATTTTAGCGTTCTGTCTGACTAAAATCGTCTTCTACTACTAATTTTGTTAATTTTAACGTTATGTCTGATTAAAATCGGCTTATACTACTAATTTCGACATCGAGTTTGATAGTATTTTAGTATTACTACTGATTAAGCAAAATTAGTAGTTACAGTCGTTGTTATTCAGACATAAATTTACTATGATTATAAATTATTTAAAAATTTATTTTTAATCTAATTTTTTAGAAATTTAAAAAATAAAAATTCTATTCATTATTTTTAAATATTCTTTATTTATTTTTTGTTTTTTCTTAGAATTTGTTGTTGTTTCTATAATAATTAATTAAACGTACAATTTGTTTATTATCTTTTTCTATTCTTAAATATAGTAAATATTGACTTTCGTCAAAGTGTGTAATGAATGAAAAAAAAAGAAGAAAAAAACTCCAAATTTTATCCTCTCTTTTATAAAGAAAATGGTTATTCTCCTTGAAGAAATTTCATCCTACATATCAAGCCAGACATAAAGTTCATATCAGCTTCTTTTAATATCATAGTCTCAGCTAGAGAGCTCTCTCCTCAATTTTTCTACAAGCTGGAAAAAAATCTTGTTTGAAAAACTCATGTTACGCAGACGATTTGTTGCATTTCTAAAATATGTTAAAGAACATGAGAGTCTGACTAAAGAAGGCTATTACTATAGTAATAAAATAAAATAAAAATTCATGAATTTTAAAATATCCTAGCTGAATAAAATTAAAATAAAAAAAAAAATTTTTCCTTCGTCTGTCTAAAGCAGATTTTTACTACTGATATTCAAAATTGAATGGTTTTGTAAAAAAAATTCTGCTGATGATAGAATACTTTATTTTAAACTTGTTGACACACTGGGTTATTTTAACCTATTTTAGCTTTGACCTATTCATTTAGTTATATCAAATTCAATTAATAAATCATTAATTCAATAAATTTTTTAATAAATTTCTATTATTGATAAAATTTTTCTCTTTCGTTAAAAAGTTATTTTTATTCTATTAAACATTAGATTTAAATTTCTTTTTTTAAATTTAATAAACACGGATGTAGTTTATTCAGTAAATATTTTAATATTCTGCACCAATTTTTGAAATTTTTATTTTTTCAAACAATTTATTTACTTATTTTTAAATAGCTAATGTAAAACAGTCATATTATTTTTAATACAATTTTATAAGAATTGAATTATTTTCTAAACAATTATAATTAAAATTAAATTCGTCGACAAAATTTACAAGAATTAAATTATTTTCATACAAATAATAAAATGTTTCACAGGAATTGAATTATTTCCAATATAATTTTAAATTTTTAATAAAATTCCTCGAAAAAATTCAATTGAAAGAATTCAATTATTTTCTCAACATAATTTTAATTAAATTCTTCAAAAAAATTCAATTATAAGAATTGATTTATTTTCAATAAAATTTTAATTAAATTCGTCGACAAAATTTACAAGAATTCAATTATTTTCATTATACAAATAATAAAATTCTTCACAGGAATTCAATTATTTTCAATATAATTTTAATAAAATTCCTCGAAAGAATCAATTATAAGAATTGAATTATTTTCAATATAATTTTAATTAAATTCGTCAAAAAAAAATTTGCAAGAATTCAATTATTTTCAATATAATTTTTATAAAATTCCTGGAAAAAATTCAACTTTTTAATACAATTTTTATTAAATTCCTCGAAAGAATCAAATTGAATTTTCCATTATGTTATTTTCAAATTTTTTTTCAAAATTTATGTAAAAATTAAATTATTCCGTATTCAAAATTTTAAATAGTTACAAAAATTACAAAAAGTAATGTAAAAATTAATACAAAAT